GCAAACACTCAGGGTGTACATAGCACTGCTGGAGCCAGACTATCACCTCCGTGTGACTGGCCTCCCCCCCCTCCTGCACCCATGGGAGTCCTTTACATTACCTGACCCCCCTCCCACCCTCACCCCACCCTCACCCCACCTCAAGGCAGCTGCAGGGGCTTTCTCGCAACTCCCTGCAAAGCCGCAAACTCTACGCGCTATTCGACAATAAACCTCAAGAGGGCTTGTGTAGCCTGTAGGAAATAGCTGCAGTACTAGCTCACACTAAAGTGAAATAACAGTTTAGCCCCTGCATTCCCTGTCAAATCGGATCCAGCTACTGTGGACAGACAGTTCATAGCCTGACCAACCCCGCGGGCTAAAAAAAGTAACGAGGGGAAGGAGGGAAAAAAAAAAAAAAACAACTCAGGAATGACAGGGGTGGAAAATACACATTGGAATCCTGAGCTTCACATTCCCTCCAAGTCTCGCTTTGTTTCATGAGTTTTCTTGTGTCGCTGTTTCCCACCTTGTTAACACTTTTTCCACATATTATTGGATATTCTAAAGGAGGGAGGGGGGTGAAGGGGGGGCCCGGCCCACATAGTTGTGCCTCCTCAGAGTAACAGCCAAAAGGAGGCCTCCAGCATAATGACTGGTCTCTCAGATGTTTATGTGGGACTGCAGCGAGCCGCCTGAGAAGCTCTGTCAGCGAGGGCTTGGCCCTGTATGGAGCTGAACAGAGGAAATGGCCTTGGCTGCTGCGTGGTTGGCTAGAAGCTCTGCAGCCCTCAACGTCAACAAACTGCACATATATGGCCTGGCCCAAGAATGAGATAACCAAGGTCTTTCGCAGTGAGGTCTTCTCGTTCCTTTCTAGCAAAGAAATTATGTAAACAGGCAGCATTGCTTTGTATAGACTAAAAAAATGAAAAGAAATGATGCAGCAAAAAGCTTAATCATTAGATGAATTAATTACTTTTATTCCCAATTTATATAGAAAGTAAAGTAGTTGATTAGTGATTATGTGGTCAGCAGATGAGCTATTTTCAATCAGCTGAATGGTCCTCGAGTGCAGCCTGGGATGAGTTTTTAGGTTATATTATGTTGTTTGACTCATCCATGTCACCAAGCAACCACCCCGCAATCATCCGCCGCTTTTATCCACAATTTTTTGCAGATGACATCATAAGGAGAAGAGAAGAGGGGGGAAAAAAAAGGAAAGAAAAAAATCATAAAACTGGACTGGAATTACTGCAGCCAAGTGACGTTCGGCAGAGTTGTAGAGGGAGCACAATATGGAAACTATTTGACCACCTCCATGTGCCAAGGATCACACACAAACACTCACACACACACACCGGCACAGAATCACTTGCCTTCCATACCAAATGTGGTGTGTCTTCTAAAAAGTGAGCAGAAGTCATTTGCACAAACTGGATTCTAAACATCCAAGAGATGAGTCTCCCCTGCAGGCATCTTTCACAGCTTTTCGGCGGAAGTGTGCTTACCCCAGGTTGAGGTCATTCTCTGTGTTGTCCAGCCACAGACGAACCGCCACCGAGTTGCCTTCTCGACACTGTGTGAAGATGTCATCCATGGGTGTGTGGCACTGGAGGCAGCTTCTCTACACTTTCTTTCCTTTAAGATCAGGACCATAAATCCTGCAATAACAAAAAAAAAGACTTTCAGCAGGTAATCAGACATCCCTCAAAGCCTATTGGCTGACTGGATGGCATCAGTAGTATCACCACAACTTTCATTTCAATGGTTACAGACAGTGGGTCATGTAGCATTGAAATATCCTCACATATTACACATCAAAGAATCAGCTTGTCAGGGATCAAGTACAAATAAATCCTGATGGGAAACACTTAAAATAACTTTCCTCTCCTGTCTTGATCTTCCTCCTTGTTGAATCGGATGGGCTGGCCTATTTGGATCCATTGTTTAAAGTCAAGTCCACAACAAAAAAAAACAAAAAAAAAGCGACCCACCCGCACAACCAGACAACAAAACTTTCAAGCACTCGGATGAACTTGATCAAACTTCTTACCAGCTGCTACACGATCGATTTCTTCTCGGCTTTTCTCAGTTTTCCTTTTCCTTTTTCTTTTTTTTTTTTTTCTTCCCCAGCTCCTTCCTTCTGCCGAAAGTCTGCCGCCGTCTCCTCAGAGCAAGGGAATGGAGGGTCTGAGTCCACGCCCCGCCGCTCTGGATGTGCTGCTACCGCTGCAGAGGAGAAGCTGGAGGAGCTCCGCTACTGGCAGCCATGGGCCCGGACACAGCGGTACTAGCGCCCCCTGCTGGAAGCACCGAGGAGGTGCAGCTCCTCAAACTGCACCCTGAGGTGAAGGTCGAGGTGTGCAGTGGAGCTGGGCTTTATATTTGTCATGACTGGCTGCATTCATGCCAGATCATTGTGAGAATACCACCAACAGACTCGTTTTTTTTTTTCCTATTTACTATCTTGTTCCAAATAGATGCTGGAGAACACTAATGACACCAGGGATTTAGTGGAGACATAAATTTACATCGATTATTTGTTTCACAGGTCATCTGCTTGCGTTTTAAGATCTACGATTTACAGCCAATATGAGATGTTCTAGATTTTTTAAAAGCTGATTAAACTTGAAAGTGAAAATTCCAATGCATTATGTGATACCCTGACTTATCACATGATTTAATGAAGAGGGAAAGTATAGAAGAATGAAAATAATGATGAAGGAGGGCAACTTTTGCCAGTTCCCAGAGCTGTCCTCCTTCTAAATACACAACCATATGTTTGACCCACTGACTCCCTGCCAATGCCCATGTAATATAATGTAATATAATGTAATATGTATGATAAATACTGAAAGTCTTTTTTAACAAGTTAACATAAGACTCCCCTTTTTTCCCCAGAATGTGTGTTTCTCCAAAGCTTTGCAACAACCTCCCTCATTCAGTCAAAAGTTCCTCCTCCATTTATATTTTTAAGCAAAACCTCAAGACGTACATGCTTGAAGGGTTGATAATTAAATTGACATTGATTCTATTTCATTATTTACACCTGTGGATTTTCTGTTAATGATTTACTGTTAGAAAATTCTTTATTTAAAAAATCTATACTTTTCTGTGTTTAAGTGACCTAAAATGCACCTTATGCAAAACTACTGTGCCATGTTTTCAACTGAATAAAGTTATTTATAATGCTCCATCCCAGTTCCATATTTTTGTGACGTCACAACAGGCTGGAAACTGAAGGACTTGCTCAGAGAAGCATTTTCTGACCTCTGGAGGAAGAAATGAAAGGCAAAATGGTCTTTTCTCATATTTTGTTGATATCTACAGACACATAGTTTTGTTCAAAAAACAATGAAAAACAGCAATATCATTTTTAATTAATGGATATGCAATTTGCTAACAATGATCAATAACTAAATTAAACTGTTGATTTGATTATTCAGCTCACTGAAAACAAAAATGCATTAATGTATACATTAATACCCAGTTTTCTATTTCATATCTATCCAAAATAAAATGTTCTAGTGCACAAGTGAAATATTGTTTCTCTGTCTGAACTGCCTAAAGCACAGTTATTCTAACTTTCCCACATAGATTTTTGACTTTTTAATGATGAATCTATTCTATTGTGTACGTCTGTGGATTTCCTGTTTATGACTTTGTTGCTTGGAAAATTCTTTATCCACAAAACCAGACTAGTCTTTTCCGTGAGGCCTGCAACGCACTTCCTGTCTGTAAGAAAAACGATACAAAACAACAAACTGTATCATGATTTCAGTTTCATGAATCTCAATCCCAAGTCTATATTTATTCCAGATAGTTTGTATTATTTGTGACTTTCTCATACCTCTGCCTTTGCTTTCCCCTCAGATATTATTGTAGTTTTTTGGCGCCCTGATCACATGAAATTTAAATTTTTATTTCTATATTGCAAAATTGTTTGTATATTTGGGTGTTTATACAGAAAAAAAATCCATAATTGACATTTGGACATTTAACAGTTGAGAATTAATAATAATGGGTGATATTTTTGCACATTCATTTGCACATTTCTGTATCTCTCTTATATATTCTTGTAAATTTTGTTGACTTTCTTCTATATTATATTTTCTATATTTTTGTCTTGTTTTATTTTACCTTCATTTTACATCCTACCCTAGTATTCTGTGTTGTCGTTCTGCTTTGTTTACCCCCTTTGTTGAATAGTCATGCTGCTGTAACACCTCAATTTCCCTCTGGGGTTAATAAAGTCAGTCTAAGTCTATGTTGCTTGACCTCTATAATGAAACAGCAATAAATGCAAATTAAAATCTATTACGTTTCATTTTTCTGTCACACTTGGATGTGTATGTAGTGCTTTTTTTGCCATCTCGTGACTGTAAAGTTCACACAACAAGACTGACAATCATCAGTAATTCCAAGAGAGACCCTGTTTAAATAATGTAAAGTGTGTTTTCAGAAACATGTTATTTATTCCATGTGTCACTGTGATAAATATGCTTTCAGATTTTTGACAGGGACTGTAAATCTCATTGGCTCTGATTTTACAGATACAGTGTGACTAAACATAACGGACTATTTCATCACCATATCATCCAAACATCAATGATCTGAACTAAATATTTTCATATGCAGCCGAAAGAGAAAAAAAAAAAACAGCTTCTTATTTAATTCTTAACTGTCACAGCTGTTATATCATGAAGATTGTGTCTGAGGAGTAAAGCCACTGGGAATGCTGTTTTAGGATTGTTTATCATTGCCTTCATACGGGATTAGAGAGTACGTATTGTTGACAGTGCAACGACAGGAAATGATGGGAGGAGATGAGGCTGCATGACAAAGGTCAGAAACTGTTTTCACACCCACAATTTCAAGAGCATGTGGCACACGCCCCACAACTCGCTGCTGCATTCAGACATCCAGCAGCCACGAGGGCCTTTAATGTGTTCAAACAATGAATACAACATGTTGTCATTGGAGCATCTTCAATAAGGAAAACATTAAAAAAGTTCGACTCATTTTGTCATTGAAGATTATTTTATTTTGGCTTTTACTGTGTTTCACTGTGTTTTTGGGTCATCATCAGACTGAGCCCTCCAGGCTTATGTGATCAGACCTCCATAATCCAGGGCTGCAGAGTGGCGATTGATCTCTGTGGAGCTTTTACTGGCAATATTACTAAAATCACTTTTCAATCATTATTGCCCACCACCCGCCCACACACACAGTCAAACAACATTTTGTTTGTGCCTCTCATCTCCAAATGACATAACATTTTACACTTGGGATTTCAATGCCAGCTTTTTTATTTTTACAATCATGAAATATTTTCAGTACTGTGTCAGAAATTGCTGTTTAACTGCTACCACGCTTTTTCAGAAGGGCTCGACTTGTTTTCTGTAGATCACAGGGCACCAGAAGTGCAACTTGTGATGATAAATTAATGTTTTACAGTTTATTTACTGATGTGTCAAAAATGTAAAAAAACAAACAAAAAAAACAACTCAAATACAACCCTCATCTCAGGTTAATGGTCAATAGTGACGTTGCAATTCTGTTGTAGGTAAAAAATACAGTTACAATACTAAAACAGAGAAAAGCAGCAAATGCTGACATTTGAGAGACTTAAGCCAACAAAATGTAATCTGTTATGATGCCATTATATATCATAGTAACTAAAAATCTGATATTTTATTTTATAGTTTATATCCACCTATCCATTATCTACCATGAATGGGTTGCTCATCAGATTTCAGCTGTTCGTGGTGGGAGTCGGGCCGTATCACAGTTTGACCACTAAGACTGACTCAGACTGGCCATCATTACTGGCCTGACAGCGGGGGAACCTGTGACGGTTTCTCTTGGCTTGACAAGCTCTCTGATTTAGACACTGTAGGTGCTACACTTGACAGAGCTACATCTTCTGATAAGGATGTTGGTTTAGGTGGCATAAACACAGGCGCTGGGCTCCCAGAATCAATCTGGGCAGCAGGTGTGGGCGGCTGAGGAAATCCTGCTGTATATAAAGGTCCATTACCAGTGTTGTTAAGCACTGAGGGATTTACTGTTTCAGTCGTAGGTGTGAGTGCTGCAGCAGCTGATAATTTCACATCTATGGCTGTTGTGGCTTTAGGTACAGCAGCATCCAGCTCAGCTGGAATATCTAATCCTACTGGCTTTAAGACTGAGCCATGGACCTCTGCTGCAGCATCAGTCACTGAGGGACTTAAAAGTGGAAGTACTTCTGGGGGTGGAGATGAGGTAATCGGGGTTTGAAGTGCTGGCGAAGCCTCTGTAGTTACAGTCCCAACAGCTGCGGGTGTTGCTGCTGCTGCTGCTGCTGCCTCCTCTGCTGCCTTGACTTTGGTCTCCATCTCCTCCATCCGGCGCTGCACCATCCGGGGCATCAGCTGCACGTAGGTGCTCATCAGCCGGTGGTTAGAGCGAATCAGCTTCCCTGCACAGCTGTCCACACAGCGCTCCTGGAAAGACAGCACCAAATTGAGGTAGTGAGTGGACAACTACAGCATGTATGAATGACACACTACTTGATCATTAGCGTAGAGAGTTGTTGTCTATACATGCATAAGCATTTTTCTCAGTGATCTGGACCCCTGGCTGTAATCAATGAAAATATTAAAGCAATAACATACAATGTCATACTAAACAACAGGGGGCTTCCTTCCTTATGGCAGTAGTTTGGTAAAGGCCTGTCAGAGTGACGATGCCTCTATTGCACAAATCAAGGTCAGAGGCCTGCACAAAACCCTGACCTCAGCCACGTCCATCATCTGCATTAGGTCCAAACATACTCAACTACTTCAGTGCCTAACCTTACTAATGCTCTTGGGGCTGAATAGCAGAAAACTCCTGTACCAAGGTTCTGGTGTAAAGTCCTCAGAGAAGAGCAGGAGCTGAACTGCATATCCATGTCAAAGGTGTTATTTAGCTTTAGTCATGTAATTATCATGTAATGTAATGAATCGAAAAAGGGGATCTGAAACAGAGTGGTGCAAAACAACGGTAATAAGAGTTGCAGACCAGTGTAACATGTATGTACACACAGAGTAATCAAGATAGGAATTAATTCTGATTTCAACTCTTCTTACCTCGTCCATCGTGAGGTTTCTGTAGTTGAAGTTGCTGGTGCATCGCTGAAAGCAGACTTCAGTCATGCGGTTGTAAACCAGAAGAAAATCCCGCAGCTGCAAGAGACATATTTAAAGTCAACAACCATTTGTGCTTATGAACAAATAAGCACGCACGTAGCCGCAAACACAACTCACATTTCTCAGCTGTTGGTCAGGCTCCATCTCGATTCCGTTGGAAGTAGTCAGCTGGTTAGCTAATATGCTAACATGAGCGCTAGTCAGCTAAAGAATTCAGAAATGTATAGTCTCCCCGGCTTTCGGCTGTCTGACAGGAATAAAGGCACTATTCCGCAAGATATGATCCGCATGTGAGCACCGGCGTCTTGAAACTGAAATGAACTGATTCAGGTAATGGATTGGAATAGCATGACATTCACATGTGGGCTGCCATGTTTGTCACGAAGATCGTCTCCGCTGGTGAGGAGAGGGCTCACTCGGTGACGTACGAAAAAACACTTCCGGGTTGCAAAATGGAAATTTAGCTTTTTTTGTATGCAGTAATCTTTTGGAGTTGCATTCAACTTCTACCAAAGTTGTTTTCTGAGTTATACATAAAAAATAACAATACATGTCTATTTTTGAGAAACATTTTAAAAACACACAAACTGTCCCTATTTTAAAATGACTGTTCCTTACAGCCTGACAGAGATAGTAGTCAAAACTTTATTTAATTTAGCTTTTTTTTGGTTTGTTTGTTTTTTAAGCTTATGTTTAGCTAGTATCCCACAATGACTCTGGGTTGAAATGACAACGTATTTTGTCCGTCTTCCAAGCTGAATTATTAGCCACTGTGGTGGTAAAATATGACACTGAGCCATTAAACCGTTATTTGAATGACGTTGTAGCATTTAGCCAAAAAGCTAAAAGCGCTAGCTCGTCTTCTTCCTGGAAGCTGAACAGGTAAGTCACCAATGTCTCTTTCCAATAGTATTTGAACACACAAATTCGGTATAGAATTGTTGTTTTTGTTTCGTAAAATACTATAAAAGCACATTTTGAGTGACGTTTTTATTTTTTCATAATGTTGTCTGAATACACTTGGGGTTCCTCATGTGTCGGAGACAACAACAACAACAACATTGGTCATTTGTGTAAACAATTTAAATTCATATCCTCTTCATGTGACCGGATATGAGAATGTCTCAGTAGCAAAAGCAGAAATAGTGTTGTGTCATACACTAATTTAAAAAATGGAGCCAATGTTTTTTTTAATTTCCTAAAGGTAATCTTATCAACTTTAGCAGATTATAGTGGACACTTATGACTCAGTTTTGTCTGGTCATTTTGGTGTTATCTTGCAAGTCAATCACAAATTGCAGTGTCTTCCATTTCCTGTCTGGCTTTACTTTCCGCTATCTCCGCTCTCCCGTCCCTGATTTTCTTGTTATTCTTTATTGTACAAAAAAAGTGCTCCTGCAAAATAGTTTAAAAGTAAATCATGAAGTAAGAGCTGTTGCATGAGGCCACAAGGGCAACTGCAGGCCACCCTACACAAACTTTACAGTTGCATCAAGATGACAAACGCATACAAACCACAAGCTCAGCTGCAAGGGCATAGGAAGTGGCTGCATTGTTTTGCCACAGCTGGCTTTGTGTAATCTCACCAACCATAAAATCTGCAGCATGGAAGATGATCTCTTCTGGGATCTGTGTTCTCCGAATTCTTGCAGACAACCGCAAAATATCACTGAACGGCCTTAATCACTTGTCGACAAGCAAAGTTTGCTAGGAAAGTCCTTAAAAAGCAAAGTCTTTAAAGAGAAAGAAATCCAGGCAATATTCAGTTTGATTGAACCATTCTTATGCATTGCATAACCGTTTAATGAAAACCATAGACACTCTGGAAAAAAAAAAAGTCATCTTCATTTATCAAGTTAAATGATATCCTCCTTTTGTCAACCAGCATTTATTGTCACGCTGCGACAGAAGCATTAAATTGTAGCGAGAGCCTTTGATGGTCTAACCCACTGCATTAAAATATTCTCTCTGAGCCACATTGAGGCTCGTGGGCGGAAACTAAGAGCATTTGTACACATTAAGCCGTCACTGTCAATTTAACGATCATACCTCAGTGTTATCTTGACATATGCCTTTGTTTTGTAAAGAGGGGGGGGAAGCCAAAAATGATTTTCCTTTTACCTGTCATCATGCCACCATCTGCCATTGCAAGAACCTTTAAAAGCTTTAGCTCTGTTTTAGCTGGATAAAAAAAAAACAACAAAAAAAAACAAGTGACTGCTTTTATTGTCACCCACAACAACAAAAACAAGGAAATATTCTGTGCAATCCAACTTGGGTACACAGTGTAAAATGCAATGTAGCGACTCATAGATGAGTCATTTATGTTACTTATAGCCCAAATATCGCTGATATTTAGTCATGCATTATGAAAAAGACGACTAAATACAACTTTGTATATGACTGAGCTGGTCTTTATGGGAGCACAATTTAGAAAAAAATGTGACTATCACTACAGTAGACTATCATTTGTGAGGGTGTTATTTCTTGGCTTCCCATATACCGGCAGCAGTTACATCGGAAATGCCTCAAGCCGAAAATTAATCCATAGAGGGGAAAGTAGGCCATGGTCAGCTATTGAAAAACTGTCACCAAACAGTTAGTGTGCTGCAGGCCTTTGACTGCTGAGTTCACTTCAGAGCTCAGCTCCCTCAGCAGAAAGCAGGCCAGTAAATTATCCGCCCAGAACGAGGATTGCTGAGAGCGAAATAATCATTTAAGCAGATGGCGCATAAGTGCAACAGATTATAAAGGTAATGGCCATGATGATCACTTTCATGTGGCATGAACAATATACAACAGTTTGCCCACAGGGAGAATAAAATGCCTCCACTTACAGCCTTCCCCTTTTCACCTTCTTGCCTTTAATTTTTTTCTTCACATCAATGTTATCTTCAGTTTTACCAGGACTGAGAAGCAAATTCATTCATTTGCCCGAAACAGGCAACAAGATTTGTCGTGATTAAGCCATCGCCTACGCTGTGGAAAATAAGTGTAAGATTAGCTTTTACTTCACACCTTTTTATAAGACATCCGTTCATGTGTGATTATGAGGCATCAAAACAATGAAAGTTGTTTCTGTGTCCTGTGATGATTTGAGATTTTCCACGTCTTTTGCAACAAATTGAAAATTTCCACGTGGCTCTTGACCTCTAAATGTCAGACATACTTTCCTTTTCTTTTGATAAGTTCTACACTTATTGCGTCCTCTGCACAGAAAGATACAAAAGAAAGAAAGATATTTTCCTAAGTTGCCCAACATGGAGAGTTCAAGAGGTAGTTTGTCTGCGTCAAACAGGATATTACTCAACTTTGTGAAGCTCTTTGAATAATCAAGATGACACAGTTTTTTACTCTTGGCGATACAGTGATAGATAGTAGTTTCCTGAGTATTTCAGGTGCTCTAGTATTCAGTTCAGAACAGTTTGAAACACTGAAAAAGTCTTAGTATGATATTTGTCTAATCGTGTTGGCCACTGTCACAGTTAATAATTTCCCCCTCTGAAAGCTGTGGACATACATTCCCATTGCTACCATCTTGTTGGACTATTCTTTCCCCACTCTCTTGATCTCCTTTCCACTCTCTACTTCCCCTATCCTCGTACCTTCGCATACTATCCCAACCGACATTCTCCCTCTCCATGTTTGTGCTCCTTCCTCTTTCCATTTCCCCTGCCTCTTGGGCTATCTGCTGACTGTTCAGGTAGATGCTGCTGTGTGAAACCATCGTGCTGGTGTCTCTAGAAGGAAGAAGAGCATCCACATCTGCGTCCACCTCCAAGAAGGTTGGCACAGGAGTTGTGAAGGCGACCGACAGCTGCTCGTGAAGCTTGTTTCGTCCCTGCGTTTGGCTTTGCTGGTGGCGATGCTTCTTCTTGTGTTTCTTGGCAATCTTCAGATCCAACGAGGCGTAATTCAGGTCAGGCTCTAAAGGCTGGTTCCAGAAAAAATGATTTGGTAAAATAGTTTATAAGGACAATTTAAAACAAAAATGCAGTAACTATACAGACCAGTATGTATATCAAATAATGATGCCTGTGCAGACTCTCATACGTTTGAGTTTGTCGAGTTTATTTTTAGAACCTTTTGTCCTTAATTGTGTTCACTGTTTCACAGTTTCATTGACCACAATGCGTCTTTGGTGTCAGCTACTTTCCGTTTTGAAAGCAGTCCTACTAGCACAGGCTAAACTGGTCTGCAGATGTATTTTAAATGTTTTATGTTTTTATATATTTAGTTCCAGTGTGAACAAACTGAAAAAAATCACTAAAATACAAGCATTAACCAAATATACTCAATCAGTTTAGAATATGATTATTTGTACACGAGTGACCTGTGACCTGTTTTTGCATGTTGCCTTCAAGTGTATATTATGCTCACTTGATGTCAATCTCCTTATTGAAGATGCCTTAGAAAGGGGAAACAATGTAATTCTACGTAATGTGAAATTTAGCAAAAAAAAAAAACACTTGTAAACCAGGTATAATCAGTAAAAAGACATTGACTTTTAGCAGATTTGAACTTTCACCACACACACGGAGAAGCATGTTTTCACTGCGATAATGCCGACAGCCCGTACGCGTGCTTTCAACTATATTACAAACAACACAAATGAAACATAATGCAATTATACCATAACTGATGAAAACAATCTGCAAATTATGCAGACGAAATGAAGAAATGTTGCATTTAGAGAGTCACGGACATCCACTGAAACAAAGTAGTAGAGACGTTGTAATACGCTGATGAACGGCATTTACCTTTTCACAGTCTCGTGTTCGTTGCATGGTCATCATCTCATAGCAGCCCTCTACAGAACCTAAAGTAAATCACGATTGTCATTATCAAGGAACACAAGACAAAAACCAAGCAGTTTTGCTAAAACTTGAACGTCAGAAGGAATTAAATAGTTGGTTTACGCAAATCTACACAGGTTTATCTAAATCATCTAAACTCATCTAAAGTGCACCCTGTGTGAAATTGATCCGCAAACCTTCCGCTTACATTGATACAGGCTTTGGAAATTTTTTGGTCATGCTTAGCATTTGAAAAAATATACTGTATATAAATACAGAGAGAGTAAAAAAGTGATTGTGTAGGCAAAGCATGTACAGCAAAGACAGGATATATTTTTTTTTCATGCCAGTGTGAGTCATAAGGTGTTATTGTAAAAACATGTTCTGATTTCCCCTTATGTTTTTGAAAAGGTGACAGAATGCAGGCCTGCGCTCACCTCTGCTGTCTGTGCTGATGTTGCCGTAGATTGGATTTTCCTGTTGCTCATGATGATCGTGGGGATTTTCCTGTTGCTCGTCACGATTGAGGTAATGAAAATATTGCCCTTCGTTTTGTGTCAGGCTTCAGCAAGACATGAAGGAACAATGTCACAGTTTGTATAATTTGTAAATTGTAATTTGTACATAAGAAAGAAAATGAAAACAGGGAGTTACCTAATATTACTGACTATGAATTCGTATGTAGTTGACTAAATAACACTTGACTGAATAGCAGAATATAAAAAATTTATTTGAAAAAAACATACGTTACTCCTTGAGGATTTTCAGGGTAGCAGGACTCATCTGTTTTTGTGTGAACAAAATATTTAACAATTTAAACAATGTCCTGTTGTCCTTGCAAAAGCTGAGATAGGTTTAGAATTAACAAGGACTACATTAAAAAAAAAAAATAAATCAAAACGATATGACCAAAAAAAAGAAAAGTTACTGTACCTCTGCACAAAGTGGCTCTTTGTCTGATGCAAAGGATGATATTGAGACACAAGGAGACCAACAGGGCCAGAGACAACAGCACCAGAGGCACCACATAAATGATACAGGCTAAATGAACAACAGAAAATGGCTTTTAACACCTCAGAACTTAAAAATTAAAGAGTTCTGAGTCTGTGCACAGAATTTGAGACTTACATTTGTATTAACCACCGTTAATATACCTCTCAGTAACAAACAGAGAAGATGAAACATTTAAAAAAGTCATTATCACTTTTGCGCTGGTGACACACATTAAATCCTTTAACAAACCCTGAGCTTGAAGATGAGAAATAGAACACCATTCAAGAATGTTATGACGACTGTAAAGGTATGAATGTATATTTCACTGCATAAAGAACAGGTGGATTTTCAGAAATTTATTTTTCCCTTTCAGCCTCATTTCAACGCCACAAAACTGACGAATTTCACTGGAAATTAAGTTTTCCTACTAAATTTTTTTTTCTGAGTTTATCATCACTTCTGTGTAAGCAAAAGAATAAATAATTTGGTTGAAAAGTGTCATGTGAGATACGACAACAGGCAAAGCAAAATACAATGACGTATGTAAAAGTTATGATTGTTAACTGGTTGTTTTGTTTCGAGGTAAACCTCCAGTTTTTACTTGCCCTTTTTGTTCTGCCATATTTGTGACATGTGCTTTGGAAACCATCCGGCTGTTTCTAGTTTCGTGGTAAAAGCAACATTTTACAGAAATATACTTGGGTATACATAAAACGCGCACACTGACATGTACAAAGTAGAAATATTAGGTTGATATCTGAAGTATAATTGTAGAAGTTTTAACAGTTGCTCTGATCCTACCTGGTGGTGGTTCGCTCATATTCCAGCCGTCTTGAATAACACAGGTTGTCTGTCTGACACAATTGCTCTCAGGCTACGAGGCATCACTGGGTTTAATCAGTGAGGTGTGCTACACTGTAGTCTATTTTTACCCTGCCTTAGTTACTCCTCTGTTATCACAGAGCTTTGAAAAGTTGCTGCTCTTCAGTTACAAACAGGAAGCAATGTAACCTCATTCTGAAGCAGGCACCGTGCTGTTGTGGGGTGCAATATGATTTCACACGGATCACTGTGTTATTATAATGACATCACGAGTGTTAGCAAATTCAATGTTTATTCAAATTGTGTAGATTTTTAAATGTAAGCACAGTAACAAAGAAACAAAAAAATAGACATTTCAACATATAATGGCAGAAATGTTTCACTTAATTTTATTTGGCAGCCTAAAGCCCTTTTCTGGACTTTAGTTCACTGATCCTGATTCTGACCATAACCAACCATGTGTTAACCTTAACACAGCACCACAACACAGTGAACTAGTACAGTACAGGAGAGCTTTCCACATTATAACGCTCATGTTCATGGGGCTTCAGAGCGTATATCATGAATTTATATCATGCATGCACACAGTGCATTGTGGTTTTGCTAGTGTGGTTGGAAAATCAGAAGAAAAACTGCAGGGTTCTCAGTACAGCTAAATACGTGCTTGCATTTAGAGTTTATGTGAATAAATACATTGGTGAGTAACCAAATTAGGAGCAGGGCCCACCTAATTTAGCCTCTGGCAAAATTTTGAAATAAATTTAAAGACAAGTTTAACACACAGGAATAAAAAAAGTTAAAAAAAGAAGAAATTATTAAATTCTCAAAAATATGGAAAGCTGTATCGTCGACCTTTGCAAAACTCATTTTAGGTGTGTGTTTTGGTAGCATCCAGTGGTCGATATGTTTCATAGCCATTAAGCCTGTGTGGTTTGTGGTTTTAGCCACCTTGTAATTGTCACTCTGTGGTACCTGTGGACAGCGGCGGTCCTTAACACTTAGCTGTGTGTAAATTTCCCAAATCACTTATAAAGATTCACATAAGAGGAAGTCGACAGAAGCTGCAGATATTTAAAGGACAGAAAAAAATAAGCCTTCCTGTACTTTCAACAGTTTAGTGTTTATGAATAGAATGCTCGCTTAACCTATGATACAAGAGTTGGAACGTCAAATCCAAATGACTGCATTTCAAAGCATAGTGAATACATATTACTGCAAGAATGTCACAAGAAGTAAATGAACACAAGTACCTGCTGTGTAGCAGTTCAGAATCAATTTGTAGTCAAATTGAACAAGTTTTTATTGAAATAATTCAAAACATGCTGAATTTTAATCCATTTACTACAAAACAAAAATCATCACAAAATATGTCATATCTGCCAGAGTACAAGCAAATGATAAAAACGCTCTTCTTTATTCAAGGAACCCATCCACAGTTTCCTGTGACAGGGTTGTAACTGCAGTTTAAAACTGGCCACAACTGAAAGTAATGCATTTTGTAACTCTTTGTAAAACCAAGACAAGATAAAAAAAAAGAAAGTACATCTTAAAACTGCGTCAGACAAGATTAACATGCACAGGTGATGACGTAATACAGTATCAACTGTTACTTTCAGCAATAAAAAAAACATGTGCAACTGGAGTTTAATGTACTCCTTTGTTGTGTCAGAATGGCACCTGACAGAAGCTTTTCATTTTGTTTTCCATTTACAGTGATGAACTGGGGTTCTGATAACATTCTAGACATAACCTATCAAAAAGTAATTAGCTTTACCGTAACAATCGATAATATATGTTTATTGAAGTTATTTACATTTGTGTTCCTAGCCATTAATGTAACCCACCAATGCAAAAAGATTCGACATGTGAAATCCCTATGCGACGCACCTGCTCAAACCATATTTCCCAAATGACTCCTTATGTCATATCATAACAAACAGTTGTTGCATATCTTTCGATTCTGCAACTGAGTTACACCTTGAAGTGGGGAAAAGCGGTGCTGAATTCTCGCTTTGTCTTGCAGCTGCATACTTGACAGGAGGTGGAGGGGGTTTGAACGGAGGTGGTAGATCCATTCTGCAGGGGGAGAGTAAGAGCACAGATATTGACTGGTGGCACTGCTAGACAGTTAACTGTACCCAGGAAGCAGGTCGAAATTATAGGTCATGTGCATCTATCCAAAAATATGAGAGATATCAATACTATTTATCCAGCGTACGACCTCGAATACACACAAGCAGGTGTAGAGGAAGGTTGACTGATACATAGTGACAGTTTTACCTTTTCTTTATCATTTGTCTCCTGTAGAGAAAGCCGGCCACGGCAATCAATACCAGCATTGGAACGATGATTAACGGCAACAGATGACTCCGTCCCGCATCTAGGAAGCAGATTGCAGTAAAGGGAAATGTGTTTTTTGTAGGACATAAACAGTCAACAACAGATACTAACATATTGATCATCTTGCTCTGGTGAAACCGAGCAGACTCCAACAAATATTGATAATAAATGGAACGCTACAATGCGAAACTTTTTGCCTTGTGGCAGCAAAGTGTGTCTCACAATCCTCCCCCTCAGTTACTTGTGCACCGGCCCTTGAAGTAGACACTGCGTTTAATGAGTTTTCTACCTCGAAAAGGCATCTAGCCCGAGGCTGAGAAAAACTAGAATCTGCAAAGGTTCCACATGTGATGAAGATGCAGATGGTGAAGGCGAAGAAACTGCAGCTAATATTCACCCATAGATTGTCAGGTTTTTGCCTTTTGAGCATTTAGCTCTGCTGTTGGGTAGTTATTTGCTGCTATCAAACAGTTTTTATTGTTTACTTTTCAGCCCTGTGGCCTTGCCTTGATAGCCACGAACAAAGCTACCCACACTGTTGACAGTCCCTAGGGCAAACGATATGCCCCAAACAGTCTAATAGCATCAGTAACAAGCTAGTGTAGATACAGGATGTCAGAGGCAGACTGGTAATACATAATGCTGTTGTTACATGAAAGGTATTTTTCTTAAACGGTTCCAACACATTTGTTGGAGTGACATTCATGGATAAAAGGAAGCCAAATATTACCTTTGTCCTCAAATACAGTTATAGTTCCAACACTTGGAGTTGAAGCTGCGTCAGGATTTTCAGAATTTTCTGAAAGGTTTTCTAAGGTGCTGGTCCCCTCTGGCCATCCTGAGAAAGTGTCCTCTGGGTGCGATGTGGACTCATTCCTTGTCTCATCACTGGCCGTTTCTGGTGTTGATTTGAACACTGTTCTACCATAACTGGATGCTGTGGAGTGCGTGGCAGAGGAGGATCTAACACTGATATGTGTTGATTCCGTAGAAGTTATATTCTCTACAGTTGTGATTGTAAAATCACTTGTGTTTAGATTAACAGTATCCGTATTCGTGTTCACATTTGCATGGGTTAAGAACCCAGTAGTCGCTGATGTGTTAAGGCTGCTGTCTGCTGATTCAGTCAAACCCTGTGGTGATGTTGTCACAAGATCTGAAAGGATCAAAACAAGGAACAATAAACATGCTGTCAGCAACAGTATACTGTACTATTTTGCTGTCGTATCAAACACATACTTTCCTGGAGCTCTGGAGCAGTCACTCTCTTGAAAAGACTGACATGGAACAAACTCTACCTGTCACATGGGAATCTCTGCATGTTTGCAGCATTTCAGGTTTATGACATAGTTTGATGTGTTGGGAAATAATTGGTTTCAAAGTCAGTGCCACTCATATCTATCCAGTAAAAATGTAGTTGAAGCCAGAAACCTGTTAGCATAGCTTAGCATAAAGACTGGATATGCAAAGGTAACAAAATGTGTATTTCAGCACCTAAAGTTTGCTACTTAACATCTTGTTTGTTCAATCCCAGCACAAACAATCCCTTTAAAATGGTAAGTTGTGTTTTCACAGGGAGTTGTGCTTGAAACAATTTTTCGCTAGGAACAATAATTTCCTATAGTCTTTGCTGGTTGCCAGGCAACTGCTCCTGGTAAGAAATGGTCCGCCACATAACCCCTCCGTAAAACAGCTGCTGTTTTTTTTTTTTTTTACTTCACTTTTTGTGTGTATTTCCTAAAATATCAAACTATTCCTTTAATGAACTTCACTTTGGACCAGAATATAGAGCAGGAATTATAAATAATGTACCACAAAACTTTAAAATACCCAGCACACAGTGATACATCATTAAAACATGGGCCGAGTTGGCATTTATGAGAACATGCATAATCAATATAAGTAAAATCCATTCAAGAACCCAGACTGTGAGGCCACGGGTACAGATTTATGAGGCAAAGGTGTGGGTGTGAATTGCAAATTCAGTGGTATGTTGTATATATATTCCTACATTTTAAGGGCAGTTTATTTGTTGCATGTCAGCTTTTTGCTTTTCTGTCAACACATATATGTAGACATCTCCAACAAGACACACCCGAGAGATTGCAATTACGCAAAATTTTGCTAATTTAGAATTATATTAAATGTCATGTAATGCTGCCAGGCAGCGTGATCTATTACTACACTGTGCCCGTTTCAAGTAGCTTATCTCAATATTTTTTCAAAACCTTCATGTGCTGTACTACTCCAATCTGTCCAACAGATTGTGCTCTCACCCCATGCCATGATTCAGAGTTTGCATTGAGGCTCTGCTTTGTGTTTATTCTTGTGGTTTTGAAAGTATAAAGACGGGAAGAACAGGAAGTAACTTCTCACGTCTGTGTGACTTTTCTTTTTGCTTTTCTTACATTTTCAAATTCTCATGGGAAACGTGTATACAGGATGAGAAAGTAGACAAGTTCCTTTCTAACCTGACCACAGCCGGCTTGCAGCACTATACCAAGCTTTGTAACCAGTGGTGGCAGATGACACGCAGTTTGCTTGTTTTACAGTGTAGACCTGTGAATGCTGTTTTGGCTGAGCTTAGTTTAGTTCCCACTCAACTCTCATGGGACGGATTGATTTAAAATAATTGAGAACTGTCACTGTTTTCTTTCTTTCTTTCTTTCTTTTTTTTTTTTTTAAAGTTTAGTAGTTCCCCATTTATTCGCCATTACTAGTATGTTCTCATAACATGGCTGGCAGCTCCAAAATCCTTTGAATCTCTCTCCTTCCTTTCAGCTAATTAAAAATTAAAATTGAGTGAGCTACAGTATAATAAAAGTTCAAGTATCAGCTTTCTGGTCCACTGCAGTTTATTAAGTCATTCAGTCTCTTGGGCCCTCTGCTAGATTGTTAATCCAGCCCTGAGGAGATGATGAAATTGAGTACGACACAAAAAGGCAGATAGCAGCGAAGAAATAAAGAGGCTCACCTGTCCTTAAGCTTGTGGCTTCTGTTAGCACTGTGATGATAAACTCTTTATGCAGACTTTTGTTTCCTGTGTTGACAGTCAGTGTATAAACCCCTGCAAGAGCATCAGTCACCCACCAGAGCTCCAGAGATTCTTTCGCTGACACCAGCTTCTTGTTCTGGGGCAAAACAAGATTATGTAGCACATAAATACCGTTCATATTGAAAATATGTTTTTGTGATGTAGGTTTTGATGTCAGAGTTAATCGAATCATCTTGATGTTCATTGAATGAAGTGAAGTTCACTGAAACGGCAGGAAAGGGCTGCAGATTTTTTTTTCTTTCTTTACCTTGGTCCAGCTGTACTGTGCATGAGGGTATAATGTGCAGCGAATTGTCACATTTTCTCCATTATGGACCTCAACAGGGCCATCCGTGTCACACATTATTTTAATGTCATCTGGAGAGAAAAGGTGACGTTATTTGAGTTCTTGATAACATAAATACAACACTGTGGATCAAATGCAGCAAATATCAGGTAAAGCTTAGCTAATTACTGATACTGCTGTTGGTCTGGTGGTAAAACACCTGCACAACACATTCTGTAAAGTGTCTTCTGCCTCGATTATGATCATGACATCCCTTCACTTCACTCAGAGCTGAAGAGAGCTGCGTATTGTGCCTGCGTCATGGGACAACTACATGACTGATGAGAAAGAAAAAAAAAATAGGCCAAACAGAGAATTGAAAAGATGTGGCTTGTGGCAAACAAAGCTCCAAGATGTGTTCTTGCAATTATTACGTGCATTTGCTCTGAAGTAAATCACTGCGTAGATTGGCAGAGGAGCAGTAGCCTGATGCAATCAGGAGAAACACTAAATGTATACAATGGACAATAAGATAGAAACATGTTGTATATATTTCTGTCTTCAACACTGTGTTTTCTGCAGAGGCTGGTTGACATAAGGGCTTCTTCTTACCTTTGACTGTTAGCACTGTTTCAGACTGGATGGATCCATAAGGGAAAGTTGTAAGGTCACAAACATAGACGCCACTGTCCCATTTCATCACTTCAGGAAGGTGTAGATAGGAGCCAGTCAAATTTTTTCCATCATTGTTCTTAAGCTGGATGGTGACATTAGGCCTGAACAGGTGGAATCCATGACCTGGGCTGTAGAGAGCCAGCTTTGTAATTCCATGTTTTCTTATACTCCATTCAATACTTGCAATCTTTGCATCAGTGCGGTTCTTTACAAAGCAAGGTAAGGTAATGTTCTGGCCCTCTACAGCTTCCAGCGCTTCATAATGGAACAACTCGACATTCTGGAGCCCTGTCAGGCAATTCAGATAGCGTTAGAAGCAAGAAAAGTGAGGAGACAAAATCACTTACACTTTGAAGTTGATAATACAGACTGCAGTCCGCTGGGATGCAGGCAGATAAAATCATAGCATTATACTGAGGCAGCTTGTCACACCAGAAGCCAATACACAGTTCAAACCCGTAGTGAATATCCTGTCTTTGCTGGTATATTATATGAGCTACATCACATTTGGATGTCCAGGATTACCTTGAATAATAGAGGCAAGAAGCAGGAGAGAGAAGGCCGTTCCCTGTGCATTTCCAGCCATGTTTGAGTTCCCCAAACTCATTAGATCAATCAGGCTGAATTCGTTGAGGGATTCAACAGAGACAGAAACAGTGCACTGTCAACTGAGGTTAAAGTGTCGGGCTGAGACTGTGAGACAGTGAACAGGACGACCTATCTTTTACAGGAAGCCACACAGAGAGACAGAGTGAGTCATATGTGTAGTGCTAAAGCTTTGTGGTAAAAAAAAACCCTGGTGCAGAGCACGTAGTTGCAAAAAACATAGATCTTGCAGTTCTTATCATTATTTATTCTTTTTGTCTGGTCTAACTAACACAATGCAGAACAATAACTCATTTGATTTCGGATTACGTCAGTAATGATCTAAATCATCCAGGAAGAATGATACCAAGGGAACACCCGAACCCAAACAGGACTGAAAGATTAATTTATGCTCATCTAAATAAACTTCTCTCTTACTAATTAACTTCAAACAGGCACAGGTTTAATGGCAGTCCCTCTTGTTACAGTGTTTTTTTGGCCCATCTATTCACCCAGACTTTCATTTGTGACTCCTGAACAATGTCACTTTCTTGTTTGCCACCATTATGTTTACTGTAGACACTGAAGTGCCATGTGAACGTAGACGTCACTGGTTGCATATAAAATGGAGACACCCTCTGTAACTTTACCCATAGGATTTTTGGAGAGCAGTTCTGAAACAGCGTATGAGACCAAAACTATTTTCATATGAGGCTGTAAACATGTTTATATCTACTGTAAAGTTGGATATTTTATCATGGGGATCTATATGGATTGACTTGCTTTCAGATCCAGCCTCAAGTGTCTATTGAAGGAACTTCAGTTTTTGGCACTTTCGTATTTGTTTTGTGTGCTTTTTTTTATGGGTCAACTGTCTCAAACACACAAAGCAAACTTGGTTATTAAAAGCCAAACACACATATGAAAACATACACACGTGGCGAATGTTTGTGACTACGATGTGCATGCATACACAGTACATGTTCATTGCCTACTCAACAGACAGCATGACTAAGAAATCTGACTGTCCCCTCATTTGGTTTGTTTACTTTTCATGAAACACTGCACATTATAGCATTCTGTATTTGTGTATATATATGACACACAAATGTTATGACTGAAACATCAGATGAAGTGATCGCTTGATATTATTTGCCTTTGTTTTGTCTTCTGTGCTTGTCGGCGGTTAATGTCTTAGAGCAGAACTTAACTATAAAGCTTGTCACACTTCCACTGACAGCGAGAGATAAAAGAAAACATCACAAATATAATTTGCAATCTTGGCGAATGTGATTTTATTACTCCTATAAATACTTTTTACCCTAATATGTTTACCATATTCATTAGATGCAAGCAATATTATTCCTTGCATAATATTATTACAATGCCACAACACTGAATTTCAAATGCATGAATTAATTCTTCAAAGAAAATGGAATCATTTGTCTGCAGCTTTGAGAGCAATAGCTTCAAATAACTATGTCCAATTAGCACAGATCACAAGAATAAAGTGGGAAATTTTGTTTAAATCTTCTAACCAAAGGCTTTGTGCATATCTACATAATAGTGAGCTCAAGCTAAGAAGAAGCTGATAATTCGGCAAATGTTTTTTTGCTCTTAAAGGATTTAAGATAAAGAAAACAAAAACCTGTTGATATTCATGTTTGATGAATGGGTAGCAATGCTTTTCAAAGGTAAATGTAACAGTTTCCAGTATCTAATTTAGCTAATCAGAGAAAAAGGAATTTTAATTATTACTATCACAAAATGCTGATATCCAAACAGCTTGCCCACCTTTTATTCTCTTTATCTCTTCTCCACATATTATGAGCTCTACCCTTCATTCATTATAAATACTCCCCGTGGACCCAGCACTACATTTAAGATGATTGATAATTTAACAGTTATATTCTGCGCCTGACCTTTATAACTTATATTAGGGCTTAGAAGAGTCACTGCCACCCTATAGGAGATTTATCAGTATTCTGTCAGTGTTTTATCAACGTGTAAGGGGACCTTGCTGTATTGCTCCTTTTGATAAGGGCAGCATCCCTTCCCTCGGGAGTCTTGAAAGTCTCAACAATTTCTGACACACACACACACACGACATCGCTGTGATTACTTCGTTCAGTGGTCCAAGAAAAATGTTGAGAACAAAATGAAAAGCATCCAAACAATTAGCAGTGTTGTAGTTTCTGATCAATTCACAGCGTTCCTGAGCGAAACTATTAAACAAGAGTTATTCTCACATTCACAGAGTTAAACAACAATGGAGAAAATCACTGGTATTAGTAGGTAGGCTCTGTTTCCGGCTTTTTTTTTTTCCTTTTTTGATGTGCCGAGAAGGAAAGAAAGTGCTGTAACCTGCTGGCGCACCCTGCCCCCCTCCTGCACACAGTAGTCGTAATAGTTCCACACTGAGGTCACGCCAGCCCTGAAAGTCCCCAGGGCTCCTGGATACCCTGTGACCTGCAGCAAATTGCACTTTTTGCAGCATATTGCACCAGAACACTAATTGTCAACTCTGTGTGTAGATATTTGTGCGTTTGTGTTGAGGTATATGTTTGTGTATCTGCTGACCTCAGGGCTGTGTGCGGGACCAGTGTTAATACACATTCGCACATTCTGCACTGCTCATTTAGACACGTTTGCTGCTCAGACTTCGCTGCGAGCGCAGTGTTATCTCTGCGAACAATGTGATTTTTTAGAGGCAATGTATTATTAAAAACATGGGCATGTTATACAGATTGTCTTACTACAAACCAGTCAGAGCCTCGAGAGGCCGTTTTGTTGTGCTGCTTCTTAATCTAAGTGCAACTTGGATTGATTTCACGTTCTAAACTTCAGATGAAAAAGAAATGACGATCTATTTTTAATCATCCGATCAGAGCATTGATTATAGTAGAAAAGTGGTTTGAATATGAAACTATACTAAAGATCTTATGTTGGGGAAGGTATTCTATGACCCCATGAGAAAGATTAACAATTTATGCTGCACGTTCATGTTCAAATAGCTTGCCAGAAGGCCTTATGGCTGAGAGAGTGTGGTTATTACGGTATTGTATAGCCATGGTACTATAGAATCTTATGTCCATTTTTATAACATTGCTGAGCTGTGTCAGATGTAGAGGCTCTTGAGTTGGTTAACTTGAATCCATTTATAGCAGCGAACGTGCTTCCTTCCCTGATTGTAGCTACATACAGGTTATATGTTTTCACATGCAGGTTGAGAACTCCACTTGTAAAAGCCTCGGCTGTGAAGAATTCAGTCCCCATTCACATTTACACCTCATGTGCTACTGTCCCTCTAAGCGTTCCTACTGAGGAATGAACTTGTTCTCTTTTTTGGAATGTAAAATTCTAACCACCAAGACTGAAACAAGTGGCCTCCTAGAGGGTGCAATTGGAAAACCAGACATCCCAATTAAATTGTGACAGTGCTGCTTTCAAAAGTCAGTCTTGGCAGTTCTGACAGGGATTCTCTGTGTCCCCACAATTACTTATTTAGAAAGCTCGGCTATTTATATTTCATACATGTAAGACAATCTTTAATTATGAATGGAGGATATTGTAAAGATGTAATGAGAGCTTACAGTCAGTGTCTCTGTGAGGTTGCACTTGAGCTAAATGTTATGCCGTCGTGCTGACAGTGACAACCACACAAATGTTTAGACAAATTTAATTTAAAATAGTTGAAAATGTATCCAAATGTCAAAGCCATTTGGCTACATCCTCTGGAGACCGTGAATCTCAGTTCAAAAGGTCATCTCAACTTATATAATGGCTGTTGTTTGGTTGAAAAACCCTGCCTCGTTCTTTTGACCAGTAACGCTGCTCCAAGTTTCAAGGAGCTCCAAGTGAACAACATGTTCCAGGAACTGTGATTAACCCTACCACAGTCGATACCTGTTGAGCTGCTGGACCACGAGACAGAAAGATCAACACCTCATTCCTAGCCATCACAGAATTCTGACTGAAATCTGGACTGAAAAATAAAATAGTGTATTAGGACTCAAAATTTTGGGGGGAGGCAGTCTTTTATTTCTGCACTTATTTTGGGGAAAGACGGTGACCCACCCAGAAAACCGCAATGATTGTTTTCACCCTGTTCACCGTTCCTCGATTGTTCCTTTTATGTGTGCCTCAGATTTTCCTCATTACCCCCAATGTTTGGGGAAAAAGTTCAGTGGTTCTTTTGAAGAATAAATGGAAGGAGACAAATAATAAGTGCAGCAATAACGGAGCAACCTCAAACTCTGAACAACATTAAAGTTTCTGAAAGTATGACATTTTGGAAACTATCGGAGAGTGGGAGCGTGAGCGAGTGAGGGAGAGACAAATTGAGTGTGCCATTGTGCTGGATGAAAATGAGTTTTATAACTTGTCAGGACTGTACACAATGGGCCACAGAATGAATGGTTTGCAATGCTGAATAGTGTATGGGGGTGTAAGGTGGGATAGCAAAAACAGAAATGTAACAATTTATGCATTACTCATTCACTCACCCACCTTAGAAAAAAAAAAAATGACACAATGAGAAGCGCCAACGGTAAAACGCTACTCCAACAACTGAACTAATCATATGCAATGAGAGAACATGATATTCAAATTCTTTTACTCATGGTTGCACTTTTTTTTTTTTTCTGACTACCTAGCCTTCAGAGTTAGTCAGACAAAAAAAATATTAAACCTAATTATATTAAATTCTAATTTTAATTGACCATGGAAGTAAAAATGAGCTAGTTGCAACACCTGTTCTTCAAAACACTGATAGAAAAGCTCTGTTTTTGTGAATCAGCAAATGAAATGTGAAGTGTAGTCAAGTGTGCAGTGCGCATAAGAGCTGGAGGTGAACTTTTGGTATTTTCATGGTTTCAGGCAAGAAGTGTGCAAGACATTTAAAGCAGGGAGGGATTAGGGGAAATGCATTATTATACATTATCGTATATAATCGGTAGGATCGTTGGAGAAAGTTATCACTTTTGACCAATTATATGACGTCCACTGACCTTTCAAAATAAACAACCATTTATACAGGCACTGTTAGACCTTTAATTCTTTAAAGACAGAGAAAGAAAAGAAATCTGAGAGCTGATTTTGTTGTTTTTTT